ACACATGCCAAAAACATCTGCCTGAAATCAAGACATACAACCATTATTACACCTATGTTTGATATCGTGAAAATGAACGAGGAAATAAAATGGACTATAGGCATACTGTGGGTGTGACGACATAACCGAATACAAATAGCTGCAAAAGTTATGAATACATTTTCGATAAATTGTTCATGGTACACAAGCTTCATTCTGAACTTTTATTTTCAACTTAAAAGAAAACAAAAACATAATTATCTTGTCAAAAGATAAAGAGACGTAAGAGTCAGTCATCATAACAACATACAGCAGTACTAAAATGGTAGATGTAAGAAAATCCCTTATAATTTAAGACATGGATATACTGGTTTACGTACAATAAAGAGTGATAAAAGAAGATAAATCATGAGGCTCATGGGGTATCAAAACATTCACAAAAATAATTTATTAAATTAATTTTCGTTCTGGGTTATGATAGATTTTCAATGAATGAAACGATTTCCGATTAATATTTCAATCATCGGAACCTATTGTATGTAATGATGATAATGCAAATAATAATAGCAAAATTAACAATTATAATGATAATGATATTGATAATAATAATAGTAATAATAATAATAATAATAGTAATAATAATAATAATAATAATAATAATAATAATAATAATAATAATAATAATAATAATAATAATAATAATAATAATAATAATCCCTTTAGAAGTACTAGTATTGACATATTTACCCATGGTATAATCTCATCAGTTTTGACACGGCTCTTCTTGGAGGTCTTGTAATTATTATATAATAATATCTATTTATAATTAAATTCATGAAATACATTATCTTTAGAAATAAATTATCTTTGCAAAGGAAATTACTTATCATTGTTATTATATTAGACCTAGGCATTTATTGACGAAATATTACTTTCAATTATTTGTTATTAATTTCTTTAATGAAAAATAAGTTACTTACGTTACTGAAGATAGATTCCGTCATTTTTTCCGAACTGATTGAAAGTTCGGGTCTTAATCCTTGATGCTGAGTTTCCAAAGAAAAACTTTTGCTACACTTAGTAATATCTTCTGGAGGAAGAGGGGGAGGCGGAGGAGGAGTCGGAGGAGAAGACATGATGATAGCATACGGCAGAAAGACTCCAGTACGTATAGTCCGATAAGTTTTCGCAGGAATGGCGGGATGGGTAATATGGAGAGAAAGATCGGACACTTTGCGTTGTAGGAGAGCATTGAGCGTGGTCGTTAGTACACGTAACATCCATGATGGTGAGGATGGTGAGGCTGGAAGGAGGGTGGGGCCCCATCATGAATACAAGGGGTAGCTTTATCCGAGAAAAAACTTATTTGAATCTTAAAGAGTATACGCGCCAGACAACATCATGATGTTCTGTTTGGTGCACAGTCCAGTGCGAGCGAGGCCGTGGCGGCGACAGGCAAACACAGAAGCACATTCGTGAGAGAGAAAGATAGAGAGACGGGGACAAACACCGTCTACGACGAGCGCGCTCCGACGATCCGAAATGAATGCTCCGATGGGCTGGAGAAAGAGCTGGTGTATTTTCTGTGTGTATAGCAACAACGTCTCTCCCTCATATACGTTGCTCAGATGCAAGCATTCCAGTCGTAAAGCTACCAACGTCACTCGTCTGATTCTAGGATGACTTCCATGGTTGTCGCACAAAATATCATTACTTCATAATGCTATATTCAACGGATGAAAACAACCAAAATGAATTAATGCATGTGTTAAAATTGCATTGTCCGCCCCATAGAAATCCCTTTTGATACAGCCCGTATATAGCTTGACTCCCACAGTTGGTGACGGAATATTAAAGGTCTCTCTACTTGCTGGGCAATCGGGCTTTTCTATCTCTGTAGTTTGGTTGAACACCAGTATCGTGTCAACATAATTACGTTGACATAGCTGGTTCATGGCAGATCCCGTAAAGGATAGATGTCGACCTGTCAATTCTCCTCTACTCAGTAAACGCGAGAGAATATAGGTTAAACAAGATATGGGGCATGAAAAGGCAGTTTAGATAAATATGATTTACGAATATTTAAAAAAAAAAGGTTCCAAATTGGAGGCGACGTATTTATGAATTTGCTTAGAGTTTTACATATCAGCTTTCTCGACGTCCCTGACGCCAATCTAAATTATCCGTCAGACCAGTAGTGAATTGAGATAGCAGTTAACAGATTCTGAAGATAACTAATTTAATACCTTTTTGACGACGTCTCAAAGACGGTTTTGAAGTTTCAAAACATGAGTTATCCGATTAAGTATTAGAATGTTCTTAATGTCCATATCCCCCATTCATTTGTTGAAGAAAAAAAATCTACTTATTGATGCATTCATTAGACGTATACGTGTAACTATTAGTTACTATAATGTTTCTACTGATATTCAGATCTGAGGTACTTCTCAAATATTATATTCTAGTCCGCTTCACAGGAGAGAAATTTCCTCCCACATTCTTATCTGTTGATGACCTCTGTTCTTATGCTAAGAGAAGAATTAAGGTATATTTTCACTAGTAGACATATACAAATTATGCATTTTTATATTAGGCACAGTGTTATTTATAATACTGCTTATAATGTTAAAAAGTCATGTTTATTTTTAGAACATATGTGCATTACGAGAACAATAAATAGAATTGAGAAATAAATAGAGGTATATGTATTGTATGCCTACTATATTATGATGGCACACACACACTCTATCGAGGGGAATTATAGTGACAATTAAATCACGGCGTAATTACGTCACTCTATGCACCGTGTAATGATGTCAAAATCAGAAACTGTCGAGGTTGATTAATCTTTCATATAACGTTCGAAGTGTGGACCAGGATATCAGATAGATTAAGTGTTAGCAACGGTGTGTTACGGTTTTAATCGGACATCGTCACATCGACGTACCGGTTTAAGGTGAAAATTGATGACGATGTGAGTGACTTGGGATATGCCTATTATATTCTTGATATTATGTTATATTTGCGGGGTTATCTTTACCCGGATGAAATGACTTTATAAACTTCACCAAAAAATTTCAAAGTACACACTAGTTTATAAGACTTTTCTCACCACTGACGATACGTTAGATCTAGATATGCCTCTGGACTTAAATAAAGATTGAGCGAAAACGATCATGTCTTATCTTATCTTGTCTTGTAAAGCACCACATACATTATTTCCGCAGATGGGCGGAGAAAAAGGTTGAAATCAGCATAAAGATAAATGAATGAAGAAGCATATCAACTATTACTTTATTCAGCACCCCCCCCCCATAAAAGGTATTTTATAATTCCTTTGTTTTTCATTGCTCTACACATGTTTTTAACTTGGTCAAGTCATGATTTCACATTTTCATTAAGCCCTATTGTGTTAGAGGAATAATTATATTGTATATATAATTGCCACCACAAAATGCCAAGGCTCCTCGATTGTTAAATGCAAGAAATGAAAGAAATGCAAAAAATGAAAATAGGAGAGCTGTCATGAATTATTGTAAGATTGTTAAGATAAAGGGACGAAGGATCATGATGAAAAACAGCTTTGCTGATCATGTTTTTTTTATCCTGTTTCAATAAATAAAAAAGAAAGAAAGAAAAAAGAGAACTAAAGAAAGAGGGAGAGTCTAGAAAGTGTATAGAGAGCGTAACAAAATAGAAGCACAGAGATGCAGACAAAGAAAAGAAACAACAGTATCAAGAAAGATAAGTGAAGCAAGAGTAGCAAATTAATAATTTGTTATTCTTTACGAGCAATGAATTACACAGAACACACATAGTTACTGCGTTAAATTTTCACTTTCTTCATTAGATGTGAACGTGTTTTTTTCCAGTTACATTATACCCGGAATTGAAGGCAGGCATAGATCACCAGTAATAGAGAGGGAGTGGGAACAGCGAGAGAGAGGGGAGAGAGGGAGGGGGGAGAGAGAGAGAGAGAGAGAGAGAGAGGGGTAGAGAGAGAGAGAGAGAGAGAGGGGACGAGAGATAGAGAGAGAGAGAGAGAGAGAGAGAGAGAGAGAGGGGACGAGAGAAAGAGAGAGAGAGAGAGAGAGAGAGAGAGAGAGGGGGGGGGGGGTGGAGGCGGAAGAAAATAGAATAAACGGTAAAACCTTCAATTCGGCGAGGGAACCAGATGCATACAGGAGGTATATTAATATATAAAGAATAAAAACACACAAAACACTACGCAGCACACGTTTTAAATGTTCAATACAAATTTATCTGATATGAGTATAAGCTTTCGTCAGTTGTTTTATTTGTTGAAAAATTGAGCAATATTGATTGAATCCCTCTTTACAATGTTTTAAGTTCATATACCTATTTATTATATTATCTGTAGAATTTGTTGAATTCTTGAGATATCTGGCGAGGTATGTGTGTTAAAAATTGGTTAATATGCAAGATCCAAATTGGTTTGAATAAAAAAAATTCCTATCCCCAGATTTAACGAAAAAGAAATTTGGAATAAAAATACTACCATACTACTACCTTCTAATTCTTCTTGAAATGTCAATTGTCGTGTGCTCACTGTATGTTTTATTCACATCAAAACACCAAACCAGTACACACACAGTAACTACAGTGGAGGGACTCTTATGTGTGAAATGTTTAAAACCTGTGGATATATGAATGTAATATATTATGCCATTTCATAAAGAAGATGGGAATTCATCTCACTATAGTCTCCCCCCCCCCCCCCCTCTACACACACAATCATCTTCCTGAACAATCATGCATTGCATTCCTTGATATAAGACAGGAAGTTTTTGATTGAAGTGGTAGAAAGGAAAAATGTAGGACAAAAGAAAGACACGTATATATAAAGATAAGAGATGGAAAAATAAAAAATAGATGGTGTAAGGGGAGAGAGAGAGAGAGAAAGAGAATGAAGGGGAGGAAATAGAAGTATTTAAAGTTTGGAGGGAAATTAAATAGTGAAGACAGCAAGATGTGAAAAAAATAGTTGAAAAACAGAGATCTGAGATAGCAGATTAGTTTTAATATCAGATTTGTGTAGTATACACACATGATAACAATCAACATAATGAAACATTCAAAATCCATTATAGGTACACTGTAGTACTTTAATACATTTACATGACAGAAACAACAGATTTCAAGATTTAACTGATTTTCTTGTTTTTTTTAAGAATTTCTTTAATCATCCTTAAATCAGAAATACATTTTATATTTATATCTTCTTTTAGAAAATACTTTTATGCCTTCCTTTTTTTTCTTCAATTTCCTTCTATTGTCTCTTTTTTAAAATAATAACTAAACATTTTATTAATATTCATTGTATTTTGTGTGCGGGTGTGTTCTTTGCTTGCTCCATTCATGTTGATACACACATGTTATCGAGGGGTCAGTGACACCATTTTTGGCATTTTGAGAATAAGTGGTTTATGTGTTACTAAGCACTTGGGCCTCAAGTGAAGTCTATGTCTATGTTTCACTAGCCATTGACTTCAATGGGGTGTTGGGTGGAGTTAAGTATTTGTGTTTCCTGGAAAGCTCACATTTTCCTGAACATTTTGATATCAAATACTTGTTTTGGCAAAATGTGGAGTTACGTCTTTGTGTCACTGAACCCTCAAAATGTAATATACACTTACTCATATTTCTATTGCATGGATGAATGAAAGTCAGACCTGCGATCAAATATTCATACCATAGGTATGTGGAGGATTTTATATTTATATATTTATATAATTTACTTCAATATACATGTAGGTAGAAGACAATGATAAGAAGTGTCCAAGAAAATCATGATCAACCAGCTAAAAGTAAAGGGCTTATGAGGTTCAGACTTTCCATTCAGACTGTGTTATTCACTATTGCAAGGGTTTGTGCTTGCAAACTAGGTCTTGTGAATCATACACTGTAACTTTATCCTGCAATCAATAGTCCCAAGCTGCTGATAGTCCTCTAAGAGAAGACTCTTTTTTTTACTTTGAAGAACTGAATTCCCAAGCTAATGTAGTGAGTGGGCACCATCTGTACAAGAACTCAACTTCTCATGTGTCACCTGTGTGTGATCCTTACAATACAATTACTAGTCTTTAGTCTTCAGGTTTCCCACGCCCTACTAGATCTCATCTTTTTCTTCCCAGCTAAACCGTCTTTTCTTTGTGCTTCACCCATCTCCTTGGTTTTCCTCCTCTTCTTCTCACTCTTTTGATTCCCTTCAGTTATCGTCTTCATCTTCTTCCAGATCGCTTCACTCTCTTCATCTCCCTCTTCTCCCGCTGTCTTCTTCTTTCCCTTCTTGCTCGCCTCTAGCATATCTTCATCCTATACAAACAAAAAGAAATGGTGAAACAGAGTGAATATATTTAATTAGACACTATAAGACACGGCTGTTCGAAGGAAATATTTTCCTAATTCTAACATTTGAAGAAGAAAAAACATGAAACAAACATTGCATTCTTCTGTAAATTTTGTAATCATTAATTTTTTTTATATATATATATATATATTTTTTTTTTTGGGGGGGGGGGGGGCAAGGATGCAAAATCCAAATTATTGTTGACAGCAAATTAACAGGAGCTTGGTTCTTTAAAAAAAGTAATAAATGAGTAAGACATTAAAAAAAATTGTAGTAATTACAGCTCTCATTGTATTCCGTCCTTGGCCAAATAATAAAAGAACACATAAGAATTTGTTTTTCTTTAATGTAGTACATGTCTAATCATTTTCCAGAAAAATTAGCAATTCTATTTTTCAAGTATTTTCGGTAATAATAACGTATTATTATAGATTAAATATCTTACTTTCACTTGAATTAAAATGAAATTCTTAAAGAAATATACTACAATACATGTAAATTGGACACTGAGAAAGCAAAAGCTTAGATACAATATTTCTTATAATATGCAACAAGAATCCCTTTCCTTTAAGTTTATATTACCAAGCAGGTAGGTTATTTCTATTAATTAACCTCATCCTACAATCAATAGACTCAGTCTGTTTAAGACCCCATACATTAGCTTGACCTTGTCTGTCAATTAGCTTCCCAATACCATTATCCAATACAGTCTAAATCCAATCACTTCATGTCTAACATTGAGAAACCAATCTCCTCCTCTAACAGCAAATCACTCTAATTAATTGGATTATAACTAATGACAAGACAAGGAGCACAATGCTCATTATCAAATCTGCAACGTGGAATTTCATCAATGGAGAATGCATAGAAGGTCTCATTTACATACATCTTTCATTTAACTATGGCTGAGCTGAATATCTGATTGGCATTAAATGAATCAATTTTGTAAATGAACCACCAATGGAACTCAAATAAATGTACATTATGCAACTACACAGACTCATTCTACAAGCCAGTTTAAGAAATACTCTTGGCTATTCACAATGCCTACTAAAATAAAGAATGCTAAAGTCAACAATATCAATAGCATTATTTACCTAATTTTGGGAAGCTCTACATATAAACCCTTTTATTATTAATGCTCTCTGTCAAAACACATCCAATTTCTGGTTCTGTGTCTTTTCATTCATGCACATACAGCCAGAGGTCGGACGTCCTTTGCAATATTATTTATATCAAACGCTTGATGAATATATAACTCACAAATTGCAATACTTATCAATATTTTAATGATTGTATTTCTTCTTGGAGGATTTTCGTGTTCCAATTAATATCTCTCATCATTGGTTGAAATTATGTTGTTATTGTAAATTTGAATGTTTATCCAAACAAGTCTTTTCTCCCTCTTCTTCTATTTTAAACTTCATCTCGTGTGTCCTTTCATTTTCCCCTCTTTTTCCATTTCCTTGTTGATTTTCTTGTGCAATTTTATTCCTACTCTGTATGTTATTGTGCATATTACTGTATTTTTTTAAAACAATTTTTCTATGTATTGTATTTTACTGCAATTGGTTTATATTTTGTAAATTCAATTTGTTTCAGCCCCTGTCTGCTATTTTTAATGCATTTTTAAAATCAATAAACCAGTTCAAACAAATTAATTTGAAACATTCCAGCAAATTTGTTGAGGTGGAATGGTTAACAAATTTTTCAGTAATTCATGTTGTTTAATTCAAATTCATTAGTTTATACATTCAAATATTTTCCCTTTGTTGTGAGGAACACCATTGCTGCCATGAAAATCATGGCGGGTACTATAACAGTCAATAAAACAAATATTTCCTACAGTAAAAGTCTGTTATCATCAATATAAACCTGCATTTGACAAAAAGAGTCTCTTCTTTCTTCTAGCCTCACGCCCTCACCTATGTCAAACTCAACATTTAACCCCCCAAATAAAGAAATTAATGACAGATAGACATACCTGGGTGAAATCTCGGGTTGAAAATAGCAAACAATTCAGTTTTGACTTGAGATAAATCTGAAATGACAAGAGATGAAAATACACATGTACAATTAGTCATATTCATAGCGAAAGAAGAAAGCAAGAATATAAATAACACAAAGAGTGTTTCAAAATGCAGAATTCAAATAAATTGTTGTAGTTTGAATCATTATTTTATCTTAAGAATGGAAAAGTAAGATAAAATCGTTGCATAGGTTTTTAACTGATACATTTTTTATTCTTGCCATTCAAAGGATGTTTACCTTTGAAATAATGTTCATAAATCTATTAAATTGCAATGGAACTGATAAATACACAAGTATCTCATCTATTTCATAAGAATAACAATCAGACATATGACCCGAAGAGCACTGTGTCACCTATTAGTGTTACAATTTTTCACAAAGTGCCACTTGTTTAAATCTACTAACCCAAGGACATTAAAAAAGTGATTTCTATCAAAGATCTTTTTTTCTGGTGCCCAACACAATCTTTAAGTCTACACAAAGTTGTCACATGATTTAAATCATGCTGAAAGTGACAGCCTTGCAAGCCATTTGGCAGTTATTTATTGCCTAAACAGGATTTCAGTTAAAGTAATGTTTTGAACATGTATAAACAGAGATAACATGTACACACATAAATTGTGGAGTAAATTGGCAGCAGATTAGTCTGTCTTTACAGACACCTTTCTCAGATTTAGCTTGGAAATGCATGGATCCCTCTTTTGATACTTGAAGTCTTTCAAATTATGCAATAGTATTAGAAACCCTTTGGATTATTCAATTTTCCATTTCAGCTTTGTTATGGGTTATTTATTCCAGCTGTCTTTTGAATATGGAATCACTGTTGAATTGAGCATAGAGGGTCGGTTCTTCAAATTCAGTTCTGAATGTAGATTGACAACAAAGCGATTTTGAGACAAAGAAGTGATCCTTGAAGGTTTGACCCCCCCCCCCCATCCCCAAAATGAATATATAAATAAATAAAATAAATGAATAAATAGGTAAATGAATTTAAAGAAATAAGAAGTAAAACAATAAAATTAGGGTCATGGTATTTAAGCATCAAGACAATAAAGAAATCAGAAAAGGTAATGTTCCTTTCTTGGAAACTATCAATTAAACAGCAGATGCATCCAAATGCACCTGTCTTATTTTCCTCATTTGATTTATTTGTTATCATCAGTGGTACATTAAGTGCGAATTTTGATTACCCTGTTCATAAATCTATTGGAAACATTTACATAACTGTCACAATTTACAATTAGACCATACTCTTGTTTTCCCATTATATTTCTATTAACCACAGCATATTATTTCATAAATATTTAAAGCTTTTTTCTCATTATTTGACGTCCATCAAACAAACGATAAATAAAACAAGAGAAGGTATGATGGATTTTATTATTTGCCAATACATGATCTATCACGTAGGAGAAGTTGGAAAGAGACAAATCATGAAGTATGTTTATTAATGAAAGATGATTGACATCAAACCTCAATGCGTAATGACTGCATAAATCCAGATTATTATTATAATCATTTCATGATTAACAATGAAACAGAACATATAAATCATGATAGAATGGATAAAGAACAACAAATCTGTTTTTATTTACAAGTGACATCACATGGTAATGTTTGCAAAGTAATAAATATGTTTGCTTGTTACAGCAGCCATTGATTAATTACTCATGATTAACTCTGACATGTCGGTTCCGTCTGTCTTTCGTTACATAACAACATAAATAAAGTTGGCTTAGGATGAGCTTTAACCTGTGACTTATTTTTTATTTTTTTGTATGTTGGAAATCAAGAGTATAAAAAGCTACTCTATTTTTTCTCTCATTTATCAAATGGCCATTTTGATAACATGATCTTTGATGCATATACCATTGAATTTCTTTGATTTATCATTATTGATTTACCAATAGATTTCTTGTTGTCGCGGGCAGCGTTGCCTGCGAGTTCCAAGATTTTGGCAGTGAAAAATCACCAAAAGCCTGGTGATTTTTATTTTCAACAAGAAAAATCACCAAAAGCCTGGAGCCAGTGTTTTATATAAGGTGAAAGTCCTTCCTTTGATTTCAATTTAATGATAATAAGCACAATACTGTAAACAAGAGTCTACAAGACTGTATTTTAACTACTGATTAAGAACCAACCTTGCTTCTAATAGAGCCATCCTGTATGTCATGTACTCTGAGGAATCGATCCAGACCACATGAAGCAACTAGAGGTAGGGTTGGATGGCACTGCATGTCTCGTATACTCCCTGCAAAACCTTTATATATCCTCCCTACTTGACCTGCAGAAACAATGATCAAAACTACCATCATTTTCGGGATATATTGTGCATCGAGTCTCAATCTATACTCCCATAAAGTAACATGTGCAATGTGTAAATTTAAAGGTTGTTAAAAAAAAAATCCCATTCATGACAATTATACATAAATAAATCACACAAATACATTTTTATAATGAATCAAGATAAATCAACATTCAATTCTAATCAAATTCTATATGCATTACCTGAATTCATGCAGAGTCAATAATGCTTATTTTTTTCAAAAGATAAACAAATATGAGTACATGTATACACAAAAAAATACAAAAGTATGTACTATCATCCTCGTTGGAAACCAAGCCTAATGAAATAAAGACTACATTATACATGTAGGTATCATCATCAAAGGTTCTAAATAATCACTATGGGGAAAATGAAGGAATGATGCAGAAAGATATCAAGCTAACATACATCAACCTGTTTGGATACACTTGTGTAATGTAAGTAAGAATGTATTTATTCCAATACTTTGCCACATACCTTTTCTCAGATCTATTTCTGCCATTCGACCTTGTGTATTTCCAACCAGTACTGAGCTGTCAATAGAAAATTTATTAGAAATATTATTGGATGTAAAATTTTCTTCACAGCATTCATCTTAAAATTCATCAAGAAATTTTAGGGTTACAATGACATCAAGTTCATGAAGCAAGTCCTCATGGTAGGTATTATGAAGTAGGAGACTTCAACATATATACTATGATTTTCATTTTCAGATCTCAAGATTCAAATAGCAGTAGTGAAGTATAACAAAAACATATTCAATGACAATAAATGCATCAATTCAGACTCCAGATAGTTCCCTTTACACATTGACAATGACAGAGGGCGCTATGCAAGCATCTGATATGAATCATGTTAAGGTTTGTTTACTCACTTATCACCAGGAACCAAAGCCATTGAGATGATAGGATACTCATCAAATGGAATGTCTAGAACAGGTCTTCTCTGGGTTGAACTCGGATCATATAACCTCACCTAAACAACAAAAATAAACAAAAAATATAAAAAATGTAACAGAAGAACTTTTATGAACACTATGTTACTTAATATCGATCTCAAATTGTTGAGGATATTATGTATGGCAATTTTCTTTTCCTTTAAATTGTCCAATAATGAAAATAAGAAATACCTTCAAGGCAACATTAAAATTAAACAAATATATATTTTGACAAACTTGTATAAATGCTGCTTGTAAGTATCAGCTTCCATGGTGATTTAGATAAACACTAGGCTTTCGGTTGCACTGTGTCAGGACTACTGGTCCCTACTGTATCAGCAGTCCTTTTCAGGACTACATAAGAACGATTACCAATAGTACTTTTCAGGACTCTCCAATCCTCGCCTCTCACATGGTGCAACCGCAAGCCTACTGTATAAACTTTTATAAAAGTCTATACTATCAAAATTCTTTCCATACTGTCACAATTCTGTCCATACCATTAACATTTCAATCTAATTTATACAAACCTGGCAATGACCTGTGCAGGTTACAACTTTTGATGAGTTAGCTAGAAACTGCATGTCATTCACCCATACAGGAACCCTCAGGTCTAGAAAGCTATTCCTCACCTAATGAAAGTGATACAAAACAAACATTTATACTTCCATCATTCTTTTCTTAATGTTTTTGTTTGTTTTATCAATCAAACTTGTAAGGAAAACTTTTCGTTTTCAACCTCAAAACGACATTAACAATACTAGTTTAAAGCAATGTGTGTTTTGGAGACTGAAAATGATTGAGGATTATAAGTCACATACTACAGGAAAGGATATTACGTGGAATTTTTACTTGAATGGGCTAAGAGTGCAACTGATTCTGAATAATAACTCACAAACTTAGAAAATAAAATAGCATAGGAAGAACATATTATTGTTTATACCTACATTTTTTGCTTTGAATATTGGATCATCTGGACGTTCAAGATCCCACACTTTGAGGTCATTCTCTTTTCCACCAGTTGCTATACACTGCCTTTTATGAGGATTCTGCCTCATCCTAGACAAGTTAGCACCAGCTTTGATTTCAGTCTGTTGGGAGAGAGAGAAAAAGGGGGGGGGGGGGGGGGGGAGGTAGAAGAGAGTGGAGAGAAAATAAACAACTTGGGCATGTTAATATGTTTACATCAATGGTTTTATAATCATGATCAAGGAAGTTTACAGAAAATAATAACTGGCAGTAACTTGCAATAGCGGGCAGTTTCAATGAGACAGTAACTAACAGAGAAAAAAAAAGAGAAAGAGAGTAAAAGAAAGAATGAGGGAAAGAGACCAAATATGGTACAAATAAAGATGACTGAGAGAGAAAGAATTAGATGGAATGACGCAGATAGAAAGTCAAGGTGGAAGGTAAGGGGACTAAATGGTACAAGAGGAACATGTGATAACAAGCTTACATGGAGGAAAATGAGAAAAAAAAGGAACTAGGAAAGTTCAATCGGTTAACGAAAAAATAAAACAATCTTGGATAACCTACTATATGTTCTGGCTTGCCTTTCTGCCACACTCTGACCATTCCTGATTCTTGACAAGTGATAAGTCTCTCGTCATCTAGAGAGGCTAGCCCTTTGAAGAGACCTCCCTCTCTATCACATTCAACAAAGTCCTCATCATAGACCAGCTTCTTGGGGTCAAACGTTCGTACAGTGCCATTCCTCAAACCAAGAAGTACCTGAAATGAAATTCAAAGAAAGAATCAAGTACACCTGTATTGAATACTCAGCAGAGAAAGTCTTTTGGTCACATTAACTCCTACATGACTCCATTTTTACTTCATTAAGTGAAGCAGGAAGCTACCACAGGTTAAATTTGGGTAGGGGGTCTCAACTTGAAGCATTTAAAGTGCATCATTATTATTTGATCTGTTATTTGATATCTAAATACAGGAAGTGCAAAACCATTCATGATTTAATCTCTTACCGAGTACATCTTCTCAGATCTTCATCAATGAAAAAATGGGGACAAAATCTTTTCTCGATCTGTACCTTACTAAAATTAACATCTTGACCTAAGCAATCTTTTAACGGTAAAACAATTACAGTGTCCAAGAATTGTTCAAAAATGAATAAGTGGACTGAACCAGGGGTGATAGTGAGAGTTAAAAAAAAAAGGTTTTAAAAATCTGAGCTCTTGCGCGAAGCCTTCAAGGAAGTTATGAAACAATGGCACCTAACCCCCCTACTTCTAAAACAAAAATCAAGAAATTATCAGGCCTGTTTGCTCTCACCATTATGATCTTTAGATATTATTTTTTCCTTCAATAATGAATTATCAAAAAATATAAATTCTGTAGATTTGTGACCATGATTTGTACATCCCTTGAGAGTCCAATGCCAGTAAATGGTGAGAGCAAACAGTGGCATGAACGGCCTGCCATATTTAAGTTCAAATTAAAGTCGATCTTAGTCTTTGTGAAACACCCCCCTGGACTGACTTGGGTAGAGGTCACCTATGAGATGCATACCTGTCTTTCATCAGCTCCAGACCAGCATATGGACGTGATTTCTTTATCCTTCTCTAAAGTTGTGAGGTCAGTGAAATTGGATGCTGCATTCTTTTTCAAATCTATTCCTGTGATGACACAAGCACACACAAGAAAGAATTTTTAAAAGGTAAATGTACTCCTTTCTTATACTTGGTGTCTTTAGCGTTTCATTTTAAGACACTGCTTTTTTGTAGTTTAATAATGCAGGTTTATAAAATACTGTTTTCAATATACCGTATCATTATATTCAGGCACCTTTAAATTGCAAATTTGAAAATGTGGAGGTCTGAACAAACGGCATACTCATTCTTCTACAAATCTCAGCAAGGGCAGAAGTAAAAATTGAATACAGATTAAACTGCCTTTAATTTTAACTGCTTTGATGATGTTGTCATCAAAATTTTTTATTTTAAATCTTGATATCCAACTTACGGTACACCTGTACATGTTTCAACCAACTCTGTAATGTTAACTCATGACTTTACAGTTAGAAATTTACTGAAAATATTGTAATCAACTTGGCCGATAAAAAATGAGCCACCAAAAACTCAGTCCACATCACGCACCTATGTCGTGCACACAAATTCTAATCAATTTTTTTTTGGTGGTCAAGTTGCAAATTTTGTCCCAGAGATTTGAGTGCTCGCCCACTATTTCTGCGACCAAGAAATGCACATAATGAATCAACCAAAAAATTACTTTTTTTTTTACGAGGGCTCTTTTCAGATTGTCCCTTAAAAAAATAGCCCCCCTTAATTATTTTGCGGTGGCTATTTTGGAGCTCAGGGGGGCTTTTTTTTTTAAAGGTTGTATTTTTTTAAACACGGTTTTACCTAATTAAATTCCAAGCAAAGGCAAATATAGATACAACTGTAGTGTACATGTCATGTAGAGTATTGCAGACATTCAGATACCCATGATTTATTCACTTTGTGTTAAACGTGTGGCTTTATGATTTACATATACATGTACCGGTAACTAAAACTTGTCAAAAGGAGTGTTTTGTTTAACTGTTCGTTTTTCATATCCTAAGAAAATATTATCACTGACACGCGGGCTAGGAATTAATTTTTTTATGGGGGCTACTTTTCCCCATTGCCTAAAAAAAACCAAGGGGCTACTTCCTTAAAGCCATATTGCAAGCTGTAACAATAAGTTGTGTTTTTCCTTAGCCATCATACTACTAGCAACCAAATTGGTAGGTAATATGTTATTTAGTCTTTTTTTCTGTCCCAAATTTAATTGTTATCATGGACAATGCAATCCCATTAAAAAAAATGTAGACCAACTCCCTTTAAAATTGTGTTATTTAGACCATTTATAACCATTAAATGTGAGTTAATATTTTTACTGTTGTCCCATATACCGATGTAGGGTCTATTTGTTATGCCGAAACATGCAAAATCATGGCCTTATTTTTTTCTTATAGACTCTAATTCTAAAGGCCAAGCCAAAGCTAGTTTCATTTCGTAGACAGAAATTGATGTCATCATCACTCATGACAATTGGCCTGGCATCGATCGTATATAAATAATTTTATTTAATTAAACAGTTGTAAGAAAAATTCTGAGGGGTAGGAACATCCTTTATATATTTATTTACGGTTTTTTTTATAACAAAATTCAATTTCTGTGTACGAAACTTGCTTTATACCGATTTTACAGGAAAAAATCCGGCATTGATTTTGCACGTTTCGTTATTAAAAATATATCAGTATGTGGGACAACAGTAAAAATATACTCGCATTTAATGGTTTTAACTTATAAATAACACAATTTTAGACGAAATAACACAATTTTAGACGGAATAACATTTTTTTAATGGGATTGCATTGTCCATGATAAAAATTAGGGCCAGAAAAATGACTAAATAAACATATTACGTACCAATTTGGTCGCTAGCAGTTCAGCTCTCGTCACTCGCAAATACTTATTTGCTTCATACTAGGAGCGTGCGGGCGCGCGCTGGAGCTGAGCTAGTACGTTTCTGTGTATTGTGAAAGTGTGCGAACTGCGTATGCATTGATCATGCTGTGCACGAAACTACATCGGAGCCGGTGGCCTGTCCGGCCGCCGGGAGCTTAGGCGCAGGCAGGCGGATACCGCTGTAGATCTAGCTACAGTAGGTACGACCGCCGATCCGCTGCAACTCACAAAACTTTTAAAATGTTGATGGAAGTTTCTAGTTTTGGAGTTGGTAGTTGGAACGGAGATTTCACTCAGACACATCAATAAATTGGTTTATTAATTCATAGGGAATATTAATTTATGGCGGGGGCGATTTTTCAAGATATATTGATTTTTTTTCGCCCTCGTCTTGATTTTTACCGTGGCGATTTCAGAGGTTTAGGGGGCGAATCGCCCGTCGCCACCGTGTATTTTTTTCGTTGTAATGAATACGAGGCGGCTCTTTACCTGAATTGACACTAGATTGTGATTTACATTTTTCAAAGTATATTTTCAAGCATCGGTGAGTTGAATTGATTGTATCATCCTGTTCTTTAGGTGTCATCAATTGTCACAAAAGTGCCAATTCTGAGTGAACTATGGTGAGTTTTTTTACAGTGGTGTTTGAAAATTTGGAGAATCAATAGTGAACATGGTGAAAAAAGGGTTTCTTAACATTTTTCCCTAAACACAAATACGTATGCATGCTCCTATGAGTGTCAAGATGTGCTGATTTGTATGTTAAATTGTTGATAATACTAAAAATCAATGCAAAGTTGTACATATAACTTTTTATTTTTAATTTTATATAGAGTAAAGGAGGGGGTTTTTCGATCATGAAACAAATATTATTATTATTTAAACAAAAAAAGAATCCCAGAAAAAAATCACGAATTGCCATGACAATATTCATTTCAATTTTCACTGTTTCGGAGGCAGTTATCAACATAGCGAGCCAGTTTTCGACCGCATGTACAAAGTCAGTAGGAAGCGCGCGCACGCGCCACGCGTTTCCGCGCTGATCTATAGCACTACCGGGCGGGGCATGTTTAAATCATGAAGCAAATATTATTATTATTTAAACAAAAAAAAAAATCCCAGAAAAAAATCACGAATTGCCATGACAATATTCATTTAAATTTTCACTGTTTCGGAGGAAGTTATCAACATAGCGAGCCAGTTTTCGATCGCATGTACAAAGTCAGTAGGAAGCGCGTGCACGCGCTGCGCATTTCCTCGCTGATCTATAGCATTACCGGGTGGGGCAGGTATCCCACGCCGGAGCTCCCCGGTGCTCGCCAGGTCGAAAACTAGCACTGCATTGATCGGAAATTAGAATCTGAATTAGACAGAGATATAGTGTGTGCGTTGCGGTGTCCGGCTGCATTGATTTAATACATGCGATGAGATACTTTTGAGCTTGCAACTAGCACAAAATCGGGCTCTAAATCTGAAAAATACTTGAAATAAAGCTCATTTTATGGTACCATTACTTCTTACAGACACGCGTAAGATACTTGATTTTTCAGATTCGGGTAGCGGGACCGCCGATTACATCGCTAAAATGTGATATTTTAGGATATATTTTCCATTGCAAATGTGGTTCTTCAGTGACTCTGGCATGGCATGGTATGTGTGGGATATGTGATATGCTATTATGCGATGTATTTTAAAGGGATTTTACCATGCATCCAACCAATCGGCCGAAACCTGGAGATGGTCGATTACCCCCTCCTTTACTCTATATTTATTTATATATTTATCTAGTAGGTGCGCTGGTCCAAGGATAAGGATCGTCTGCATAAACGAGGATCATCTTCGTAAATGCGGACAGGCACGTCCGCATTTTCGCAGGCATTTCATATTTTCGATCCGTGAGTTGGCAATGTGAAAAACCGATTTTCTTACGCACACAGAATCTGTTTCTCGCATCGCACGGTTCGGGAACCCGAAACCCGCAGAGCGGCGATGAAAAAAAATCCTTATCCTTATTTTTTAGGACGCAATTTGTCTGCGTTCACGAGGATATCCTTGATTAAGGCTTTAAGCAGACAATCTTTATTCTCGGACCAGCGCCCCTACTGTACATTGCACTTTTTGTAGTCTAGTTATCAATTATTCGCTAATCCATTCATTCGATTATCAATTTAGACAGTCTACCGATTATTTTTTTAAAACTTCTTTAGTCTATCAACAATCATGGCTTCATGCCTGTTTTTAATCTTGACAATAGACTAGTCATAGAAAAACGAAAGATAGGGTCTATCAATACTCATGTACAAGTAGAACTTAGAAGAAGAAATCGAAAAGAACAAAAAAATGTTTTTTATTCCTTCAACTTCAACTAGATTCTAGATATTAGTTCAACTTAAGTTTAAAAATAAAATTACAACGAATTTATCAACACATGGGACTGCCCGAAATTCAGAGCACATTCACATCACACAAGTGTAATCCAATTACAATATCAGCAACAAACCGTGGTCGATAAAACGAAATTGTGTGACGATTCAAAGACTCCTGCTCTGTAATTTAGATGATCGCAAAAAAAACACATCGACCTTACCCTTCAAAATGCCGGTCTGAGCTCCCATCCAAATTTGGCAAACTTGAGGCTCCATGTGGGCTGCCATGGCTTGCAAATTGCAGACGCAGATGGCGCTTCAGTAATCTTGCGAAAAATAATAAGCAATTCGCAATGACTGCTCATTATTTACAAAATACGGTGGAAGGAATTAATTCGTAAATACGTTTTTATGGCTTCTGATGTTGATGTCATGGGGAAAGATGATATATCGAATGCCTCACACCTGGCAAGTGTATGTGATTTATCAGATTTTGACAATTTTAGCAAGTAACATCTATGTTTAATATTTGAATTGATTTTACTGCAGGCAGAGTTGTTGCGCTAACTCATTGCAAAATGCTTTTACATCTCTTATATGATTGAATGAATGGCGAGTGTCGAGTGCGTGATTGTGAACATGTTGCAACAAAGTGGCAACAACAGAGAGAGAGAGTGGCATGGCATGAAATACTGGCGATTGAGATTTGAGAATATGACTTGGAAGTTGTGACCGTTACTGAAACAAGAACTCAACGATCCCTTTGACTGTGTCCTGTGGTGTATTTAGGCCTGTGGGAAGGGGTGAAACATTTAGAGAAAATCTCAATGTCCTTGACACATGTTTTTCAGCAAGAAAATTAAGTAACTTGGGAGCTGCAGGATCAAGAGACGGAGGGATCTATTCTAACGTTAGATCTAGCCTATAGGCCTAGAGACATTTTCATGACTCAGCACGTGTGTGAGGGTATAGCGCACGTGCCCATATGGCGTTTTTTCAAAATCGCGCGCGCCCGTCGTGCCTGAGAGCGTTTTCAGACCTTCGAAATGCGTGACGTCACGCATAAAGCGTGACACTTGGTAGCTCTGATTCTAGACTAGGGAGTGACATGACGAAGTGAAGTGCAATGCCAGTACATGTAGAACTTTCCGCATTGAGCGCTGTGCACTTAGTTTGTTTACGCTCTCTCTTTCTCTCTCTATTTCTCTCAGCCAATGAGATTGGCGGAGCTGCTCGAGCGACTTCGAATTTAAGTGAGAGAGGGCCTACCTAACTTAAGCGCAACTTAAGTGCAGTGGTAATATATAATATTACTGACCCTTTAAAGGTACTATGTCCCATTTGCAGGCAAAAAAAATGAAATAGTTAAATTCCAAATGCATTTGAAAGATAATACTAATTTAGAACTTCCCTAAAAAAGGTGGGGCTTGAAAATGTCTTCAAGGGGGGAAATAATGAATATTAGTTGTCAAATCGACTTTAGGGCTATAGAGCCCAAAAGTAATAGTCTTGATTTTCAGATAATTGTACCGAATGGTCATACGTTTTATGCTGCGCAAAGATTCAATCAGTTTAATCTTGGCCATCACAAGAAGTGGGTTATTGATGTAGACAAATGCTCATGTACCCTTTACAACTCTTTTCATGTATGTTATTACCAAAGAAGAAAAAAAATAGTCAGTCACTCAATAGAGTCTGACAGTGAAGTCTAGCAAGTAAACGGGTTTCCTTGCATAATTTGAATATGAGGACACTGCTAACATTTAAATTTCACAGATAGGACATACATGACATATTCACAATTCCTGCAAAGTTCTACAGCATTTGAGGTTGGCTGCAAAAGGGACATAGTACCTTTAAGTTGGGGCTTTGATCAGATCGGAAGACCAATATAATTAATTTCAAAGTCATGAAAAGGCACTAAATATCAACAAACGTGGTTTACAACAACTCCAAATAAAAAAAAATAATCCCAGCTATGAATATTTTTAAAGCATTTGATAGCCAAAAACTTGAAAATTTTCAGCATTAAAAAAAAAAAAAAAAAAAAAAAAAATTCTGCAGATTTTTTCCCGATCATTTTTGTTGATCGGTGATCAAAAATTATTATCCGATCACACCTGATCGGCTCAAGATTGGCCCCCGATCCGATGATCGATTACAGGCCTAAATATTACATAACACACTGACATGTCATGGCGCTTTGAACAGGTGACGCACTTCACACATAACTAACGCACACTTGCCATAGGTACAAACATAAAATAGAAAAATCAGCGAACATTTCAGTACAATTTTCCAGTTTGTACCTAAACCATGACGAATATTAACATTTTTCAAACTTATGTAAGACTTAAACTTAAGAGAAATATTTAAATTTTTAAAGGTAAAGACCAGTATTGGAAACGCCCCAATTTAAAAAAAAATGAAATGGAAGCTCTTATTACCAATCATGTGAAAGAATATATTTTGACTATAAATACATGATGATAAAAATTTTGCCGGGAAACCGCCTACTAATTGATATATTTGGTAAATTAGTTAATCTACATGGTCTGTGAGAGATAAACGCATGTGTCGCGCACTTGTGCGTATAGTCCCATATACATCTTTCTGTGTACAGTGCTTGTAACTTTACGAAGACTGGGCCATATTTCTTATCATTTTGATGATTCCAGAACCTTGCAGTACACACCAATACTTTATATGCTAGATGATCAACCTTTTCTGATCGATTCCACAATGTTTCTTTCACAATGCAATCGCATGACCATAACTGGTCTTTACCTTTAAGGACACTGAAAAAATCGTAACGAATAGAGGGTTTGACTGAAATATCATGATTTTGGTATCAGATCAAACAAAAAATTGCAAGCTTTAGCCTCGCACCAATATCTTATAACATTGAGCGAATGGCAGCCAGCAATACCCAATCAGAAGGGCCCTTGTAGGCGTAAATTTAGGAAAATGAGGCAGAGACCGGATCAACGTAATGCGCATGCGCTATATTATGTAAGCTAAAGTTCTACGCGCAGTACTACATGTACATGTAGGTGTAGACAGAAAATTTAATCATGTCGATCTGGCCTGGATAGATATCGTGAATGCATTTCAACATTGAACATTTGGGCATTTATTTGTGCTTTTTTGCAAATTTAGGCAGGTTGAAGTATTTCCAGTTCTTTCCAGTTCTTTCCAGTTCAAGTTCAAGTTCAAGTTCAAGTTCAAGTTTATTTGTTTCATTGTTCTCAAAAAAGAATTCACATAATTGACAAAATTAGAACATAATATGAAATATAGTAAAAGTGTCACATCATATAATTAATTCTTTGAAAAGACGTCAAAATTAATTGTAATGAATAGATTAGAAGGTTATACAGGGTGAAATGTGAGGAACCTATTAAAAAGCTCAGCTTGTAGATTATAGGTTCCCATAAATAAAACTAACATTTGATTGAAGTGGTTGTAATGGTAAAGGAAGTATTGCCATCTAAACCTCTTAAGGTAATATTTAAACAATATTGAATGGATATTTTGCACCCAAAATCCTTGAACCACAATTTTACCAATACCGGTCGATATCTTTAAAATAAAATAAAATATTGCTAGCAAGTTGGTCAAGTGGACAGCAAAAAAATGAGAAAAACATTTTTTTAGATTTGAAAAAAAAAGAGATAACAAATTGAGATTTCTATGGGAAATTAAATTTAGAAAAATGGTAATGTCCAAGGCTCATGCAGCCATTACAGATGTGTTGCAGTAGTTTCACATGTTTTTGCTTTTTCCTGACATAGCCTCATGGGTCGCATTTATCGCCATTGCTTTTTGGATTCTAGAAAATTGCACCATATATGTTTTTGTTTATGAAGTGCTGCCTGAGCATTTGGGCAGCTAGAGAAAGAAGAGCACAAATTCAGCTGTTGCTCTGGGTACGCTACTGTGTGTGTGTACTTCTTATACATGTAGTAGCGCAGAGATCTGCAGAGCCCATTATTATTGGCTGCTATACTGTACTCACAACATGATGAAAATATTGTTTTTTAATAAATTTTTATTTTATCGCTAAGTACAATACATGTATGGTCCTTCAATTATTGGAGGATAGAATGACATGCTTTCCATGATTTTTCAGTGCAACCCAGAGAGATAGAAAATAAGGTGTGCAGGATGACCAACTGCTTGTTTGGTTTTCCAAATTCTTAGCTTTCTTACTACCAGTATTTATCCACTTTCCGACTCTTCTCAATTTGTTAGATTGCCCTTTAAAATGCACAATTGATCCATTAGTATTTAATCTCACTGCACCTGTTGCAAGCAATAGACCTGGTTGGATAATGACCCTTTGAAGACAAGGTAAATTTAACTTACATGTAATGGTGCATGCGTGACTTGATCTACCGGTAATGATGGAAACCGTGATAATTATCCATTCAGCTATTGAGATCATACTCCTTTGACACTAATGAGTAATGTGCAGTGGCATAGCTATAGGGGGCATAGAGGCATGTGCTCCCCTCCCCCGCCAAGTAGTGAAACAAAATAGCAAAGAAAAAGCGAGAAAGTAATAAAGTAGCCTTGTAAATTTGAATTTCATTTTCCAAGTAATGGATGAACATGTACTACGCCACAGCTAATGTGCATCCATTTACCCTACATGTAAAACAGAGTGACAATTCAACATAACAGTGTTTCATGACATGACATTATAATTTTATGAATCAAGTACATTATAAATCACTCCCACTTCACAACATTCCATGTGATGAAATCAAAATGAAGAAGAAAGAATAAATGCCCTTGCTACATGGATGCATGTTGCTACATGCTTGTTGCTAGGAAATAAACGGTTGCAAGTCATTTTTACAAAAGTGCTTGTATTTTTATTGAATTTTTCTTCTTTTGTTTTTGGATACAATTTCTACCAACTGATTCTTATATGATATTGACATACTTCCGTATCAAAATATCACATTTTTAAAGGACCAGTACTTCTCCTTGAGAAATCTTGAACTCTGTTCATGAAATATTTTAATTCAATTTGTCAGAGTTGTAGTGAGTGTGGTTTGAACACTGTTTTAAAGCAATCTTTTGTTCAAAGAAGTTAAGGAACTGTAAGTAGTGAACCCAAGACCACACGTAATGCCCAGTTCCTCTCCCTTTGGATACCTGAATATAATTACGTCTCCATCCATTGATATGCATGCATATTGTGTATTGATTCCTTCCACACGTTTGAAGCTCATGTAAGGTTAATGAGGTATGGTGAGGTGACATATATGATATGTGTTGCGTTTACTTGAACTTTCAAAGTGCATCATCTTGCTACAATGTGGGTGGGTGTGGATGACTCTTCAAAACATGTACATGTATGTCCACGGAACACCCCTATATATGTGTTTAGATAACAATGCCTTCATGCTAAATGTATCAATTTACAATTTAATAAATATTTTGAAGTTTGGATGTATTGTATGCAAGGAGAAGTAGAGATTTAAACAATAAAACAAATTTTTACCAAGAAAAATATTTAGAAAAAAGTTCTACAAATGGAAACGTGAAAGAAAATATGAAGGCTTGGAATAGAAAAGTATTATTTGCAATTGGTAATGCCAAAATGAGAGCGCTGTATGTAAAAAGTGAAAGATTTACAGACTAGATAGACGGTCTCAACTTTTGCCATCTTCATTCTCTTTTTATGATTTATTTTCTTAACGAAATTCGATCATTTGTGGTGTTTACATTTTTTGGTAATACCGGTAATATCAAGAAACAATCTCATTATCACCAAATGGCCTACATACTTCATACATTGTATGTATGTGTGGTACTAAAAAGCAATGAGTGAGTTCACATTGTTTCAGTGTCATCAAAGATCATACAAAATTATTGAACATAAGATTAAGAAATTGAGAGGGGCCTCATTAAATATTTTTCTTTCTGCATCCCTTAAAACTTCAACCCTTATAATCAGAAGACTTTTGCCCTAGAAAACTAACAATGCAATGAATAGTCGGGACTTGTGTACCGGTAGGCTACAAGAAGGAAAATACTCTGGAGACAATACTGTCAAGACGACACAAGTTCAGCACATCTAGATTGGAATTTGCATTTGAATTGATTGTATCTGTTACAATTTCATGCATGCTGAGTGAGCCATGTTGAGATGGAATGTTACATCCCCTTGCTACAAATGTACATCCTTCATCCCCCCCAGTGAAGCAAGTAAGCCTAGATCCCGCCTTGATATGAATATAAAGGGTACATGAAGGAAAACAATGGTGCAATCTTGTGTTTTACACTTTTAATGCCTAACAGAGCAATCTACATGTATATAGCATCTCCAGTGGTAATGAAAATGTTATCATGTTTTGTTTCATAAACACATTTAATGTGCTTTATACCATAATTGTTATTTGAAAACAAACATCAAGGTACATGTATATGATGCGAAGTCACAGATCAAAGGGAGCTCAAACACAAGTACATGCACTGGTATTTTCCATGACTTGCATTCTTTTGTCAGATACATGTACATAAAACATTTAATACATAAAGCCCACATATCCTTGTATATTCATATTGTAATTGGGATTCATATTTTATGTACAATTAATTTGAAGAGCTCCTTTTCCTGGACTCCCGCTCTCACTTCACTGTAGTCAATTATGTTTTTATTCAATGAGGGGCAAAAATTTTACGATTGATTACATGTTTTAATACTCCAAATGGTATTTATAGCAAAAAGAGCAATTGGGTAATGAAACATGAAGTCTTCAGTCACAATTACAAGCAGTAATTAGTTTTGAAAATGATTCAGTCAGAGTCGCAATAATACCTTCTACCTTTAAGTTCAGGCATGTTATCCTTTTGAATGGTGAATGCTAGGAATTAAGCCGAGGGGAATATCAGCTATTTTATTTCAACCCTGCCTTTCAAATCATCTCCAACAGCATTTCAATCTGACCCCCAACAAAATGGCAGTACAGCAAACTTATTCCCTTTAGATTATGTCGTCCATTGTGCATGCCTTGCTGTTAAAGAATCAAAAGCATAACATTGGTGATTGGATTTTTGTGCTTTAAAGAATGTAGTGCTTTATCCTTGGTGAGATCATTGTTAAATACTACACATCATATGCAGAAGGCGGTAATGTGCTGATAGAAACATGCTGTTGATGAGGCTGGTGTGAATTTAATTCTAGAGTTCACTTCCTGTAACTTTTCTAAATTTAGGCTATGGAAAAAGAAGTTGAAACAATCCCTTGTTCATGCATGTTGGCAAGGTTATTTTTTATTTTAGTCCATTTACACAAAATTACATTTTCGGGAAATCTGAAGTATTACGGTACAAAACTACATACTGTGCAGTATGTCGTTAAATTATTTGCAGGAGATGCATGACTGTACGTACATGTGTAGTATGTACAGTATGTAATAATGTATGTAAATAAATAATAAGAAAAGACTGGAAAGGAGGCTGATTTGATGGATGCATGAGGGTTAAATAGAGAATGGAATCTTAGACCAGTTCACATAACATTGATCTAATCAGTTAGGGATGATCTCCTTTCAGTGGAAAGCAGGTAAAGGTCAGGGTCATTAGCCTTCATTACAAGCTAATGACTGTCATTATTTATAGCCTGCCACCAAGTTTCTCTCAGGAAATGAAAATATGAGTAAATGTCATGGAATATTGACATGTATTTGAAGAATGTTCTTAGTAGGTCCATGGTACACCCCAACTGTTTGTAGAGTACATGTACTTGTACATGCGTTGGTCGGTTGAATGGTTATGTGAGACTCGTACATGTACATGTAGCTGTCATCTAGACCAAAAATGTAAACATGTAAACCGACAGTATAAATGTCATGCATGAAATCTGATATTCAAGCCCTGTTCAGGCAGAATGCAATAAACTACCGGTATCTTAAAAAAACACTGCACAGCAACAAAAAAATTGTGTGAATGAATGGCCAGACACAATCATCTCCAAGAGATATTTACTGTATATGCAGCTGCATGCAGCAATGGCCCATATTCATTGATATGTGTGTTGGACAGGAACTCGAAACATGCTATATATTATATGTATCATATTTAGTGTCTCAATAATATCATAAGGTCTCAATAATCAGGCCCCAGCATACGTAGGTGATCTACTTCATTTACACACATCCATGTATAACATACAATCAGCCAGTAGTAAAACACTTATACCGCCCCTCGAACCAGTATACAGATAAGGGTAGGGCTTTCCCTCTATTGCCCCAAAACCTGGTGTATAAAAACACATCTTTTCTAATTTATCGTAATATTTCTCTCTGTTTGTAATTAATGTAAGCTCTGTATGATAATGTATACTTTATTTTAGTTTGTTTGTAAGTATTTCTTTTTTATGCGCTTTGTATCTAATAAAAAGATGCTTTATTATAAATGAAATATTATGATTATTATTATTATCATGTTCATCTCATAAAATTTTGCAGAGGCTTTTTTTAAGCAGTTCATGCAGGGCTAGACACTAACAGGTGCCCAGTACACTTGGGCACCTATGATCTTACTTCAGACACCCACAATGTTAATATACATGTACATAGTGTATTGGCATAGCGACTCTAAAAAAGTTTAGTCTGGAGTCTGGACCCCCTTCCAAAAAATTTAGAGTGAAGCCCTGCTGTATATATGTCTGAATGGTCTTAATAGAAATGTTTGTTCCCTCGTCAAGAGGTACATTGTAGATGGAAACTAAGATGGACAATTTTTCTTGTTTATATGTTTAGGTGTGGGCAAAGTGCAAGGACAGTAAATCTTTGAAGAAAGCTATCTTCTCCTTCCTAGCTGATGCCGTCCCTGAGATCTTCAAAGCTAATGAAGTACAACCTGAGGAGGAAGAGGAGTTTGCACGCAAGGTGACAATTCTCTACAAAATGTGCTTGAAATTTAATTTATATATGTCAACTGATATTATATATTTCCAGGATCCAAACCTGTTAATCATGTCTATAAGCTATCCATCAGTTTAAAAAAATAGTTTTAGTCTCTGTAATATACTTGCTGTGGTGGGTTGAATATGAATGATCTATTTACCTGTACATGTGTCGTTTGTCCATGACTCTTCTTGCTTATCATAAAGTAAAGTATGCTTGACCTGTTAAATATTTAACCACTATGAATTGATTCTGCTGAGAACTGACTAATGTATTATGATGTTTTGAGTTTAATCACATGCCAAAGGAACTAAACTATTTTTTCATTTTCTGTTTCTTCTTGAGAAATGAAAATTAATTGGACTTTAGAGTATGTATGCATACCCTGTGTTGTATTTGAATGGCCTCACTGTATAATTAATTAATTTTCAATACAAATTAAGACAAAACTATCAACAAATGTATCCGTCGTCTTCTGATAATATAACACAGATACATGAAGACTTGTGTATAACACCAGAATTGTTATCTCAATTATACATTTAAAAAAACAACCTTGTCATTTAATTGACTTCAATTTGACCTTTGACCCCTAGGTGGTGCTGATTCTTGAGTGGTATCTGTTTGGACCCAACCCTGATCAAGTTAGGAGTGAGCTGAAGGCCTCTGAGTGTCCCCCTCAGCTGTGTGGACATGTCTTCAAGAATGGAGAACCAACATATTCGTGCAGGTCAGGAGAACTAGACCACTTTTGTATTGTTTTCAAATTTCAAAAACATTAAAGGAACAAAATAAGACAAGTGCACTATTCATTATAAATAGAATAACATAACTAGCATAATACATTTTGTCTGTGTGAATTACAATTCAGAAAATTGTGAATGTTTTGAATTTATTCATCCCAACCAATATGATAATCAAAATAGAATCAGAAAGTTGGTGTGTAAGATAAAGTCCATTGGATGATATTGGCTAAAATCCAATGAGTAGGAAATCAGTTTGGCTGTGTATGCTTTTCCATAACCTGCATAGCATACTGATTGTACTCTAATGGCCATATTGTCCAAGAACAAAATTGTATTCCAGTTTCCTGAAATGTTATACATGTAAACTTGTCTTCTGTTTTTTTCTCACAGGGATTGTGCTATGGATCCTACCTGTGTTCTCTGTATTGACTGCTTCCAAAAGAGCGCACACAAGTCTCATAGATATAAGGTATTTACTCATAATAGCCCATGCTCTGCAGAGCTGCCAACTAGTACGGATTTCCCGTAATTGGTACTGAAATTAACGATCATTACAGCAGTACGGAATGTTGTCTAAAATAATGGATTAATAAAAATATAAAAAGTATGGCGGCCATCCAACACTCGCTGAAAAAGACGGAAAAGTATCAAGTATTCTCTTAATAGAAGCCAATTTTTCATGGAAAAATGATGTGTTGTGATGACCTGAAGATCAATATTTAGCAACTTTGTGTGAGTAAAATCACCAAAAATTTCAGATAATCATGCGCGTATGCGTCTGAGCAGTGTTGGCATGCCGTTTTTTTAAAGATTTATAGCGCCGCCTAGGAAATCACTGATTTATTACCCAAATTACTGATTTTGAGCCTTGTGATTACTGATTTTCTGTTCTGGAGGTTGGCAGCTCTGGCTTGGATGGATCAAAAATATTACACTTTTACAGACATTTCAATGATGATGGGTATGGGTTATGAGGAGGAGGTGAGTGATATTGGTGATGATTGAAATGAAGATGCCCGGTAAAAGGTCGCGTAACGTGCGCGCAGGTAAAAAAGGTGGAACCGAGAAAAACGCTTTTGAAGTTTTAATACCTACTTGCTGAAAAAGACATTGTTTCTATGTTCCATGGAGCCAAAACTATTCTTAGAGAAAGATATTTACCTGATTTATTATATTCTCAAATTAATTTGCAAATATATCTTTCATTTGCTGCACAATGTTTTGCTGGGAACAAACAAGCCTGAACGCGCAATTTAAGTTCCGGGCAAAAGGTGGTGTAGCGCTACGCGACGTTTTGCAGGGCAACCAACGGGTTTTGATTGCAGTGAATCATGATATCTTGGTCTTTCCCCTCTCTCACTCTCTAGGAGGAGTAGGAGGAGGAGGATATTGATGATGATTGTAATAAAGATGATTGTGGTACTTGTGATTGCAATGAATGTTGAATAGTGTTTATGATATCTTGGTCATTCCTGTCTTTCTCTCTAGATGAATACCTCAGGAGGAGGAGGCTACTGTGATTGTGGTGATGAAGAAGCTTGGAAACAAGAACCATTCTGTGAGCTTCATTCCAGAGCTGCCACACATGTACAACAGGTGATGATCCTGTTTGATTTTCCTACCTAGAAATTACAGTGCGTTGATAGAGAAGCTGCACAAAACATATATGAATTAACATATTCCTCTGAAACCATGCATTGTTGACAAAACTGACAACCATTCATCTGTATTCCTTTATAAAGAGATAAATTAATAACATGAAGAGTTTCCAATTGTTCATACAACTTAAGTAGAGGTTTAAAATGCTGTATTTTTTTTTAGAGTAGATAAGATTTTTTTTGCAAAATAGAGTGTATTCTTTCATGTTGAGTTTAAGAATTACAATAGACTTAAAGACGATGTATTTCAGAAGCCATTTAATGTGACAGTAGCAGGTTTTCATTTGACAGTTTTAGTTGAGATGATAATTTCAGTTGATGACTCTATGAGAATAACAAGATTGTGTATTATTGTTCGTGGCATGTCAGATATGTCTAGATAGCAAATTTTTCCACACCCACATGTCATTAGAAAAGAAGGAAGGGGGGGGGGGGGGATTGACAACCAAAATAAAATTAGCAGAGGCTTTTAGAGTAACAAGTTATTCTTAGGACTTTGTATTATTGTTTAATGTGAAGTGAGAGTATCATAGTATCCTTTATTTATGAGATGTTCTGGCATACCCTTTTCCTCTCCATCAGGATCCCCTTGATAACCTACCCCAGGAGATGAAGGCTAGAGCAGTGATGCTGTTCCGTATGCTCCTCAGACATTGTTATCGTATCTTGTTCTTAGATGAACCTAAAGATATACCAGATGATCTTCAGGGATCGTAAGTCATCTCACATTATCATAATCAAGCATATCATTATCTATTGCTCTGTTTAAATTTTAGTTCAAGTGCTTTGATATAATATGTAAGAATTAGAGGACTAAGACTTGCATTCTGCTATTAATATTGTTGTTCATCACTGTTATGATGTTAGCATTACTTGTGTTTGTGTGTTTTTCCCTGTAAAGCTGAGTTAAACATTTCAGTGCAATTAATATTTTTGGACCAAGGTAAGTTTATCCTTCTTCAAGAAGTTTAAAACAGCTTGATAAAGTTGGAAGTATGATACCATGGGATAATGTTAATGTCTACATGAACAAATTGCAAAAACAGAAATTGTTCTCATACTGTACTTTGTCTCCTGGAAATCTACTCATGATATATTCTCATTTTTGAAAATTTAGTCACAATATAATGGTTAAAATTAAGGATGTACTCAGAAACCTTTCAATTTTTTTTGGCTGTAGTAGTACCGGTAGTCAAAAGAAAAAAACATTTGTAGGAAGAGATTAGAGTGGAAATGGGCATTTTATTGTTATCTTTTTTGCATCATAGCTTAGGTTTTTGATACCCATTTACGTTTCCTTCCTCTTGTTTGTTTTCTCATCCATACAGGAACAGCATACCAGATGTCTACTGCACAATGCTTTTTAACGATGAAGTTCATACTTATGAGCAGGTACTATAACAAATTAAACTTGTATCTTCATTGTAATTTGTAGGTGAATCAATACATACAGCCCAATATCAACAGATAATTTTTTTCTTCCAATTTTGACTGGTTCATATAAGTTCATGTTAAAAATTATCCCCATTGTGAATAGCAGATGAGTTATTGTTATCTTCTTGAAGTACTCTGTATATCCTCCGTCTTTCTCTCTCTCTCTCTCTCTCCCTTCCCATTTCCCTCTCTCTCCATATACATGTATATAATACAGTTGAATAGTCACAACAATATACCAAGTATATCAAAGATATCATGCAAGAAGTATGTTCAATAAAACTATTAACACGACTTTGCAACTTTCAATCTTAACATTATTTTTATATTATTTTCATATTAATGTGTTTTCACATGTGTGTATGTTTCAATGTGCAGGTCATAAGTTCTTTGAAGAAGGCCGTAGAATGTTCACGCAAAGCAGCATTGCAGTTTGCAACCATTGTGGATAAGGATGTAAGTTTATTGACATTATTCATAATTATATGCCAACAAGTGTGTTGGTAATGTAGAGTGTTCATAATAATAATAATAATAATTACAGTGCTTATATAGCGCCTAACACTTACTTTGTCAGAAGTCTCTAAGCGCTCTACAATAATGCAGCATAATTACCCTGGCTTTAGCAGTGCAGCTGTTACGCGCGCTGCGTTTCAAGGAATAAATTCCTACCAGGTACCCATTTACTTCACCTGGGTGGAGTGTGGCAAATGTAGATCAATGTCTTGCCAAAGGACATTAGTGCAGCGGCGGGACTCGAACCGCGGACCTTGTGATCGACAGTCCGGCGACGTATCCACTCGACCACAACACTTCTACACAACATGACACTTCATGACTGCCATATACCTGTCTTAACTTGAAATCAGGCAGAACCATTGTGTGCTCATTGCATTTAAAAGTAAGAGAAAAAACCTCTCAACTACTAAATGCTTAATGTAAAAAAATTCCTTTGGCAATCTATATTAATGAATAAAGCTGATACTATTGAATTTAATAAATAGTATTATAACTGTATGATTGGACAATGCATGCTAACTACCCTAAAATTGAATCAAAACCAAAACCCTAGTCCTTATCTTCACCAAATTACATGCTTCTAGCGCATGTGTCAGATTCCCATTTTATCAGTGATTTAATTTCATAAATTCATTAGTCTGTATTTCATATTTTATTTTTAGTTATTTTTTTGCCATAAATTTCATAATTGATTAATGAGATATCACTTGATACAAAAATGACCTGAAATATTTAGTTCATAGTTTGATGAAAGAGATTAACCAAATTTCTGTTTACCACTGCTACAGGGTCGCAGTGCTGTACGTAGGGGGAACGAGAGAGACTGTGAGAGGGCTAAGAATGTGATTGAGAGATCGACATCTAGACTCAACAGTACCCCATTGAAGGTGTTAGTGATGAACATGGTAGTAGTTGCTCATCAGACATGTGCTCTCAAGTTACTCAACTGGCTTTCCACTGTCGCTGGTGGATCAGGTAATTAACCAGTTGCCTACTGAATTCTCCCATTCCCTTAGGCTTACTGATACCCTGCATCAAATTACAAAAATCCAGATTTGAGTCTAGTAATCCTTCACCGTATATATATTTTTCTTGAATTGTATTTCAGTTTGGATTTGAAAGAAAAGCAAAATCTGAATTATGCCTGAAGATGTATTATTAATGATTTAAACAAAAATGGTACTATGCACACTCAGTTCATTAATGTATATAGAAATGTATGTACAGGCTGCAAAGTAATCCTCTTAAACTTTGTTATTTTACCATCTGCTTTTTTTGTTAAATGCCTTTAACAATATTTGAGATGCATGGCCCTACGTGTTATCAGTGTCTGTGATATGGTGTAATATTGAAGCCCCAACAAAATTGCGTTTCAAAATGATCATGAAGTGACTCAAAAAAGTAAAAAATGTGTGAGTGACCGGTTTTACCATACTTGTTTTCCCCAATAGACTGTAGTGTTATGAAAACCGTTAGGAAAACGCAAAATTTGATTTTGATACCTAATCATAAATATCTTGATAATCAGACAGGCGATAGGCTTGCAAAAGTCATGGGGTTCCTGACTGACCTAAAGGCTTATAATTATCATTGCAGCATGAGCTAAATCCAGGATTTTGTTTCAGAATCTGAGACAAAGTAACCCACTCCCTTTAAGGTCATAGAGGGATTTTCTAAAGTTGAGTATGTAATATAATAACTTTATTAAAACTTAAAAGTAAACACTTAATATCTTTTATCTTTTGTTTATTTAGATGCTATGCGTGTGTTATTATGTCAAGAGCTTCTAAGCATCAAAGAAGAAGGTCAGGTGACTGCAGTCATAGAGGAGAGCATGCTCAATGATACACATCTATGGAAAGGTATGTGGGTCAATACACTTCTTCATTCACTGAGGGGCCGAGAGCCAGACGCTAGGATATTTTCATATTTTTGATTAGAGTAAACACCCTTCTGGTTGCCAGCAGACAATGTAGTCACAATGCTCAGGGCCCCGTTGCACAAAACTTACCATTGATGGTAACTTTGCCATCAATGGCAACTACCATGGTAACAGGGCTCAACAGCCAATCAGAATCAAGGTTTCCATGGTAGTTACCATGGCAACGTTACAGCCAATGATAAGTTTTTTGCAACAGGGCTCTGGAGGGACATGTTTTTGGAACACGCTTTCTATGTAATATCTCAGTGTTTCAAAGTGGTATGTAGAATAATTTAATAGTCGTGTGTGAATCTAACTTTTATATGTGAGAGAGAGAAAGGAAGAGAGAGAGATACAAAAGAGAGAAATGGGAGCGATAAACAAATCATCAGTTATAATAAAAATGAACAGGAAAATATGCATTTGGGGCTAAATCTCTTCTCAATTTTGTGCATACAATGATAGGTAATAAAAAAAACATGTGTTACAATTACAACAGTAAATTTACAATTTGCCGTGTTGTATATCTTTCATTCCTTTTTATTTTGAGAATTTCAAGTGGGCAGAAAACCAGTGTAAATAACATCTACATTGTACCACATTAACATACTTGTTTAATACTCTTTTATCATTTCAGTTGCTCGAGCTCAGTGGCATCAGCTGTTTATGAGTACTCTCTTGATGGATTCAGAACACAAGAAACAGTTTGCAGTTCTCTTCACCAAGGTAAGATTTAACATCACTTTACAGTTATCACAATTTGTCGTAAATTTTTAAAGCAAATTTACCATAGCTGATAAGCTCTTTAACTTCACTATATAACTTACTTTCCAAGCTTTAATTTTGGATACTGATAACTCAAGAGAAAGGTATCCCTAGAGGCTAATTTGGGGAAAAAAAGAAGAAAAAAAGGCTTCATTTATGAAACAGCAACAGACCAACATTCTAACCCTCTTTTGACTCTGCTATTGATTATTAGATTTCATAATGTTATATATAATAGTCTCTGAAATATTTATTTTAAGTTTGTTTTATCTTTGTAATGATTGCACTTATCTTTCAGTAATGTTTTGAGTTTATTTTGCCATAATAATATTTTCAATCCATGAGTCTTAATCATCATTATTTCTCATAGCTGACGATTACCAATGCCAAGTATGTATTCATATCAAATAACATTTTCCTCATTTCTTTTCCCCCTTTTTAACCAAACATTCTGTTTCTTTTTTCTTTGATGCAGCACTACCCAACGATCCTTGTAGACTATTCTACCATTGATGACCATGATCATGCCCTGTCTATCTCATCACTCTCTGTACAAATCTTCACAGTACCTACAGTGGTGAGTGCAAGGCTCCAACATGCATTTTGGTTAACACTGGCAACTGTACTGTAGAAGCCTACCATTAACAGGGGGGATTGCAATCAGAGGCAGAATTGTCCTAATTGTTTACAGTTGCAAAAGTTGTATTTAGTATTTATCCGTTGATGATAATATGTGGGTTTGCTTGAATAGATGGAAGTACCTAGCAGGCACGTAGCCAGGGGGGGGGGGGGGCACATGCCCCCCAAAAATGTCCAAGATTGGTTGAACTTTTTAAGACCCCTCCCCAGGACGTTGATCGATTACATGTATGTGCCCCTGGTACCTAGGGGTGATTATTTGTGGAAGACCACTTGGTTTATAGAGCAGGTAAGTCATCATACATTGTGATCTTACATGCATTGTAATCTTATCCAAATGTACATTTACGTTATGACATTTTTGATTTTCAAACTACAATGTAACATGAGACAAGCATACATTTGCATTCAGTTTTATTAGAAAAAGTAATGTTTATTATTTTAATGCAATCATGATTTAATGCAAACATATCAGTATTATCACTGCAAAAGATATATGTAATATTCTTTTGATTTGTTGACAGTCTCGCATGCTTGTTGAGGAGCACAATCTACTCTTTGTTATCCTAAGGAGCTTTGTGGATCAGACTATTCAGTTCAGAGATGGTAAGATTTGATAATTAAATGTGACACAAGTTTCTTATAATGTTCCTTTGTTTTTAATATACTGTGTATGTTGATAACAACAGTGTTCAAATGAGGGTCAACTCTGTAATCTTTTTAACTAGTTATGAATGTGAGGCAGACAAACAAGCTAATAATATACAATTTATACAGTATGCAAAATGTAGTTAAGGCAGGACTTACTGCCAGTGATTGAAAGGGATAGAGACCGAGACCTTGTGTCATTACAAATAGTTAGGCTGAACTGTTTATTAGATAGTTATAAATATATCTATGTAGATGATTTAAAACCAGATTTGATTGGTAAACTCATTTTTGTATAAACAATGGTCAAGTGCACTGAGTTCTGGGAGCCTGTGTCTTGGAATGACCAACATTTTATACTAACATAGTTTGATTTATGTTTTTATTTTCTGATCAGGTATGGAGGATTCTAACTCTTTCACTTGTTGATTATCTTTTTGTTCATTGTATTTTTCTAGGGAGGGGACATTTGCAATTTCGTAGGAATCCTCCACCCAGTATACGTAGGGCCCTCTATGGACTTCTTGATCTCAGGTAATATACAATTCAGTCATTATTTTTCAACAAATACTTTATAAAAAATGACATTTTATGACTTGTTATCATGATGTTGAGGTTATTCTTCAGTACATGATAGAATATAACACAGCTGTGTAAAATGTGAAAATGTGGGATCTCCAGCTATAAAAATGGCAAGGTATTTTAATAGTACACACCTTCATTTTATTCATTTTTGATTTTCTGAGGAAGGAAGGTCTGTCATTCAATTGGGAAGTCATAAGTAAACAATATCATATAGTAGTATCATGTTGTATCTTTGTCATGGGTGAACTTCATCTGTAAATGTATCCATTTCATGTACATGCCTACTTGTGCAGATGTCACATTCATTGATTGATTTCTCCCACACTTTCAGGTATGTGTTGTCCAACAAACCTGAGTCCTGGACTGGCGATCTTAGAGACAGGGTGATGGAAGGAGTCACTGTCTTAGTAGAACTGCTCTCTAGCATGCATGTAAGTATATTCATTAAAATCCTGTTAATCTTTCAAAAAGGAGGAAGAACAATATAATTGGCTGAGGTCCGTTACAAGCTGTAGGCTTTTAAGTTTTTGGTTCTTGACATTTATAATTGAGCATGTCCAAATAATCAGCAGGAGAATATGGAAGCAGTATGACCAATAACAGAATACTGAATATTAGCTATGCTAATCTTAATACAGAATGCAAATTATAACTCTTTTTTCTCCTGTTTCTCGCAGTGTATGGACAGTGTGTTACGGCAAGTTGGTCACCACATAGAGTATGAACCTGAATGGGAAATGGCCATCTCTATGCAGATGAAACTTGGTCCGTGTCTGACACTCCTACTAGAATGGTGTGCGTCGGATGTAAGTTGAACCATACTGAAGATGTTGGTGATGAAATTGATGATGATGGTGATGATGATGATGATGATGGTGATGGTGATGGTGATGATGATGATAATGATGATGATGATGGTGATGATGATGATAATGATGATGACGTGTTCTTATGACACAGACTCATTTCATTCGTACAGTCGCATCTTTTTATTTCCTTCTTGTTATTTTAGACGTTCTCTGATTAACTAAACAATTTCATATCATTAGCATTGATAACAATACTTTCTGTTTGTTCATGTGACAGAGGTCTTTACTAATCAAGGCATACCGAGCAACCATGGCAGCACTCAGGAAGCTATCTAGAGACCAGCAGAGAGAAAACGTAGAAAGTATGTATCTCTTTATCACACTTAATTGTTGTAGCAGCATGCACAGAATCAAGTCATATCATGTTTTGTCATATTTATGTAAATTACTTGTATATAAGTATGTTATCAGAGTTGATCCTTGACGATTTATAAATTGAGTGACTTAGCCATTCATTCATTCTACTTTGTGGTTCAGTTCTGTTTCTCTCATTCTACATCAGTTTGTGACTGGGTGTAAATTATAACACATGATATGAGAGGAAAGGGATTTTATTCTTTTCTCTATTCTTTCTTCCTCAGTTGAAGATAAGACGTATAGTTGCATCAAGTACTCAGTGAGTTCTATGACAGTCAGCATCCACTATGCCCTGGTTAGATTCCTTGCAGGTAAGTTTTACACGCAACAGATCTAAAGGGTTTGGTTCTCACTTAAATCGGGTGGATTACACTATTCTTTTTATTAAGAAGATTGATTGATATATTGATATATTAAGAACATATGGTTGATTATCAAACTCCACCCTTGTGGATTCAGTTTACACCTTGCAAACTATATCCCCATTCTCCTGGAGCAATCTTGGTCAGTCATGCAATATATCATATGTAGGAAGGGTAATGAACGTTCCATCTCAAGGGCTTTCATATATCCTCCAGTGTCAGGGTATCCAGTGGTGTTGTATATCAGTGGACACCATAGCTGGTATTCAAAACAACCCTAGTTCCTTTTTGTTTCGTAGCCTACTGATTCAGATAAACCAGATGCTGTGTATAATTAAGAGAAAATGTAGACCTTGGTCTAATTGCCTATGTTAAAATCGACTTTAGACTAATAAAGCTCAAACCTGATGTTGGCTTTAGAGTAAAATATGGACCAAGCAGTTTGACTATGTGTCTGTACATCCCTAGGTCACCTATAGAAGGATACTTGAGTTTACAGTGGTCTAACCTTCTGTTTTACCTCATCCTCCCATACAGGTCTTCACCTTCACCTTGGTCAATATGAGCTGGGTTTCTACACCGAGGGTCTGATGAATGGGGTGAGTTATTTCCACATGAATACATTAAATAATTCAATCATTTGTTTTATGTTCAATTATGTAAATGCTATTATGGATGCATACATGCCAACTGTTCAGATTAAAGAGGAACATTCCTCTTTTTGGGAGAAGATAATTATCATTTTAATGCAGGTGTTCCTCTTCCAGTACAAATTTGTCTGTAGTATTGAATAGGAGAGTTAGGATTGTTCCTCTTTTTTTTGAAAATAGCATAATTTGTACAGATTTCTGATTTTCAAATGTTGGCATGTATGTGGATGTCTAGCTTATGCCTATTAATGTCTAGCTATCAAAAAGAAAGATGTAGGGGCAGCTTACTTTAGTTTGATTACTTGTCTTAGGATAAAGTCTGAACTATAAACATTGAAAAAGCGATGTGAGTACCCGTAGGAAGTCATTCTTAATAAAAGTTTTAGAATAATTTCCTGTGTCTTAAAATTAGGAAAAATCATCCCCGGCATAAATATTCATGAATAAATGATACATACCAATAAAACTAAAACAACAACATAACAGTTTTTTTTAAAAAAAAGGATAAAAAAGCAATATTGACTTTTGATTTTTGGTACCCTTCCTATTCCCTAATGACTCAGCCAAGCCTACTTCCTGAGGAGTTGATTGAGGATCCCCTGAGGACACAGGTTCTAATTGCTCAGGTGCATGCTGGGATGTGGAGGAGAAATGGATATTCTCTTCTGAATCAGGTGAGGAACAATTTTAGTTACCTCTATTACAAACGTCTAGTTTAACAAATATATGTGAATTGTTTGTAATATGTCTGTGTGTATATATATATTTGGAGTGATTGTCATGACGTATGGAAGATAGATAAAAGATCTACATCAATATATTTGTAAGCATCTGTCTCCTGCTAATATGATGATAATGGTGACAATTAGAATAATGATTATTATTAGGGGGTGATAATGAAATATGGCAAAGGATGAAGAAAAGGAAAATGGAATGGACACACATTTATGAAAACAGTATTTGGAGTTATTGCCATGACGTATGGAAGCTAGATGAAAGATCTACATCAATATATTTGCAAGCATCTGTCTCCTGCTAATATGATGATAATGGTGACAATAAGAATAATGATTATTATTAGGGGGTGATGATGAAATGTGGCAAAGGATGAAGAAAAGGAAAATGGAATAGACAAGCATATATGATAACAGTGATTTGAATGTATACTGTATTCCTTTATTTTTTATTATTGCCAGATTTACTACTACCAGAATGTGAAATGCCAGACAGAGATGTATGACAAGGATGTTATCATGTTGCAGGTAAGAAATCTATCATTATGCTTTAAAAAATACAAGATACAAATTATTTGCTATTAAAAATTATTTAATACAGTAAAGTCAGTTGACATTATGTCTCAGTTAATGTAAACAATGTGACTGATAAATGAATGACTAGGTTTAAAAAAATTACTTCTACTCTTAATAATTGCTGGTAAACATTCATATCTAAGAGGTTTCTACTTTCTAGCTTTTTGTGTCCACTCAGTGGACCTGGTTATAAAACCACTTGAACCTCGCCTATTTTAAAACCTGATAAAGCTTGAAGCTAGCTTTAATACACTGTAATTCAAGAATCAAGTTAAGAATTACAAATAAAGTCATGCTACAGGCAGAAGGTCCTTAGCATGAGCACATGCCACACAAAAAATGAGAAAATAGATTGTACTTACTGGTACCTATTTTTGAGTAGTTTCATATTAATTCATATTAATTGTTTGTTCCATGTCGGAACAATAGCCAATACGGAAAACAAAGAGTTAAGCTGGTAATATAATTCAGTCAGAAAATTGGGAAAGATTATATTATATCATAGGACATCATATTATAATTTCATGCACAAGAACAACTGTCAATATAAGAAACTAAGGGATAAACTTGTAAAATAATGCAGTCAGAAAATTGAGAAAGATTGTGTTATATCATTGTACATCATGTAATGATTTCATGCATAAGTTAAGCAGAGTGGTCCACAAATAGAAATATAAACACGTAAAATAGCAACTTGGATGGATACCAAAGTATTCAAAACAAGCCGAAGTGAAGTGATGTGCACAAAGTCTTGCAGCCAGGGACCAGGACCCAGGATCAGGGGTGCTTGGATGCGTCCTAATGCAAATTTAAGTCCATTTGTTGAAGCAATTTCAGACAATTTTTCTAACCGATTGCTTCATGATTATGACTTTTGCTTTAATTCACTTCTTTTTTCAATTCTTTCTTTGTTAATGTATGCACTTCTCTCTCACTATCTCTCCCCCTCTCTCTCACTCTCTTTCTTTCTCCCACTCTCTTTCTCCCCTAGCTCTCTCTCTTTCTCCCTCTCTCTTTTTCTCTCTCTCTTTCTATCTAGTTTATTCACACAATTTGACTGTATTCCAGGTTTGTTTAGAAAGTGTTGTTGCAGTATTTAGGAACACGATAACAATTTATAAGGCATAGGGCGGCATTGTTTCATCATGGACCTACATATATATGTACAAATGTACATAACAGCAGTATGAATTACATAATTTCACTGTATATTCACACAAATTTGGCAGTATTAAAGGGGAAGCCTGCCCTGATATTTAGTTGGTTTTAATAGAAGCAGAAATTGAGAGTAACAGATCCATGAAAGTTTGAGCAAAATCTGATGAAAAATAAGAAATTAATGAATTTTGGAAAATGCGATAAATCAAACACAAATTGGCATCTCTGTGATGTATCATTTTGCAAGTTTATTGAATTGATTTGGTTTATTACAAAGAAAATAAAGTGCAGCTCCTGGCCGATATTGCCTGTTTCACAATGTAATCAACTAATATTAGTTCCAATCATAATAAAATACATACAAAGTAAAAATAATAAGTTATACAATCCCATTATAAAATACTTATTCATACTTATAAGATATATATCAAAGATTAATAATCAAGGTATCTTAGGTTATGTCGGTATTATTTCCAACTGTTTTAAAAGTATGTTTATGAATAGAGTCATAGTAATATATCTGTATGCATAAGACAATATTATTTCAAAGTAAAACACCATTAAATGTGAGAAAAAGAAAAAAGAAAAGAAAAAGGAAGCAATATTAGAATTGCATTGTACATATATAATGACTACCAAACCAAAATTAGAGTAATATGTGGTGGTTTATTAAAGAGAAGAATCAATAAAACAAAGAATTTCAGAGGCAACAGATGAGGGAAAATGGAGGGTTTAGGAATGTAGAAAATATATACAGATAAGAGTTATGAAGACATTAATCCACCTTTATGAAAAATAAAAAAGAAAGTTACTGGATTGTTTTATTATAGTACATATATATGCTAAAAAGCAGTAGTAACAGATTGATAGATTTATCATACAATGATCATACAATTTATCATACAAATGAAAACATAATACAACCTGGATGTTGGAAGAAATGCATTAACAACTACAATGACAAAATACATTATTAAGACAAGGTTAAATTAAATACAAATTATGTTTAAACAAACATGAAATACACTTCAAAGTAAAGAGCTATTAGCAAATATTTCTGTTTTGAGCCAGAATTTAATTTCCTTGTTCAATAACATTATACAAAGTAATTAAATATTACAGAAAAATAATTAAACATATTTTTAGGCATCTACAAACTACTTGTAAAAACACACAATTGTGATAATGATGTTGAGGAATTCAGCAAAAATGAGGCATGGAAAGACAAGGAGAGATGAGGAAAGCGAAGACTGAAGAGAGAGGAAATAAATAAATAAAATTGAAATGCAAAAACATGACAGATCAATTTCATTATAGATACATTATTTCACTTCAAAGACTACTGGCTACTATGCAGACAGAGCTAAGGGGTCAATGAAGAGCAATATTTTTCTGTTCTAGAATGATATCAAAACACTTTGTCATTATTAAAGGAGTTACAAACCAAAAACCATCCATTAAAGAAAATTGTTAATAGCTTGTAACACACAAATAAATTTTAGAATTGACAACATTAAGCATTGTGTATTGTCATTTCAGACTACATGCCAAGTTTTTAGAATATTTGATATCGGGAAGGGTTGGTAAGAAATTTCGAAAGAAATATTTCCTACTTGTAGCTGATCTCTATTGACAGATTTTTGCAAGAAGACATTCTTACTGTGCTATTAAGTAACATGTCCTGAAATTTTGAACAAGATGAAATGTCATAAAAAGGGCTTGAAAGTAGAGGAGAAGAAAGGAGAGGAAAAGAGAGCAGAGAGAAGAAACACAGTCATGACAAATATTTACAATATTAACTAAAATTACACATAGTATTAAAAGTAAAATGAAATCATCTCTCCTTCTGCTGAGGTAAAAATCCCAGCAACTTTTAAAGGTAATACAAAGTTTTGAGAAATTTTGAAAATGGTCGGATAGCGATTCTTTAAAATGTTGATATATTTGAATGGCCCTGAGGATGTATTATAAGCAGTTGAAAAATTAGCCCCTAAAGCACTTCTGCTTTCGAGCAAAATTTAATATAGAAATTTATCGGTGCTCCCTGTAAATTTTGATAAATTTCAAATAGCTTATACGGCCATCCAAAGTTAGCTGCGACCATGAAAATCTCAGAATGTGCAGTTGTGATATATAATTTCCAAACGGGAATAGCAAATTGGGTCGATTTTAGTAGAGAAACATTATTGAAACCTAAATAATATCTTGACCTTGAGTGGGAGATATGCAACATAAAGACTTTATTATTTACAATTTCATCACTTTAGACTCGATTTCAACCCCGACAACGATCACTGAATATTGTAGGATCGCATGCTTCCAACATGTTCATTTGAACCAAATTCATGACCCCGTTCCAAAACTTTGTATTACCTTAATTAAACATCAACATATTATGAAAGATGTACATGTACATGTTATGAAGTAATATGACGACTTGCAATCTAGGTTGCTAATAATAATAATAATAATAGTTAGCTCTTATATAGCGCATTTAATTACCGAAGGTAATACCAATGCGCTTTACAAATGTAGAAGACAATAGAAATAAAGACATATATAGAAATAATTACATAAACATGTAATTATAATCAAAACTTACAAGTAGGCATACGTTATACATTAGAAAAATCGAAAGTAGCTTCTATTAAAGGTGATACATGTAATATTTGAAAATGATTATAATTATACAACAATATAAATATGAATAGATAAATAAACATCAGCATTCAGTCAGTCACAAAGATGGTATGTGCTGCACCAACCCTTTGGAACCAGTACAAAATTAAAAGGAAATGTTAAACAAATATGTCTTGAGCTCTAAGTTAATAGTGCTAATAGTTAATAGTGCCATACATTTGAGGAAATGAATACAAATGTGGTCACTAAAGTCATGTTATGAATAATTTGTTTGATTTTTAAGCAGATATACATGTATCTGCCTAAATAATGCTACACATTATGCTCCTCCACTTCCTCTCCATTGACTGATAAGCATGGATCTGTACTTTCTGGTGTTATGCTACTTTGCAGTCTTGGTAATTCCTTTACTTTGCGGTGATACGTACATACTAGGCTCACATTAATGATAACCAAAATAAAGATTACTGTAATTAGTGTACAGGTCACTGTCCAGTAAGAATTGATCTTTTGATTTTCAAGATATTTTGTAGGAGCTGTTACAAGATTTGAAGGTGAAGAATTAATGTTATCTATGGGGGTGCTGAGGGTTGACGTATGATGTTGTGTGGACATTGCTTGAGGACATGGATCTGCTATGTCAGATACACTATCACTCATTGGATCCCATCTCCAGTCTGTACAGTTACACTTGTCTTTTGTCCCAGTTAAGATAGAAGAACAACAATATACCACACCATCTAACCTAGCGAGGATAATCTGATTTAAATTCCTACCACTTTCTCCCAGTTTATTCTTTGGGGGTAATCTCATATCATTTTGATAGCATACAATCTGGCCTGGGAGAGTCCCTACTGGAGCTGTACATTGCAGTGAGACCCACTCCCCATCATTATGATCATTGCTTATTTCACACGATGCTTTACCAGGAGGATAATCAACACCCAAATAGATTCTAGGATAGTCAGGTAGCATGACACCATTCTTGTAAGCAGTGAGAATGTAGGTACCTTCATCGTCTCTTGACACAGGGTTGATTGTTATGTTAAGGAAACACTGGGCGAGTCCTGTCTCATTATAATTTACAAGATTTTGGTTTGAAGACAATGACATGTAGTGTGGATTGGCTGATCTGTAAAATGGGCGTGCATTAG